AGACGACGCCTAAATCTGGAACACGGTAACAGAACCCGAGGGCTGTCTAACACTTCAGGAATCACTCAACGCAGCTTATCAATGGTCTAAGGAGAACGATATTGAATTTAATGTTTTTTAAATGCGAAGTCCTATCCCTACACCACAAACGAGAATATTCGTATTTCCTCGGGGATAAGCAGCTACCACACTTTTCCACTGAAAAGTAGTTAGGTATTGTTGTTCAAGGGGATTTAAGCTGCTCCATCAGTTGTGCTAAGGCTTCGTCTGCTGNTCGGCTTACTTCGGCGAGTCTTTGGCCGCTTTGAATCATCACTATTCCCAAGTTTGCTATCAGCGTATATTTGACCCTACACAGAGTACGCCATCCAAGCGTGGAGTCCATGGTTGCAACGTGATCGCAAGATGCTAGAGCATCTACAAAGGATGCCCACCAAGATGGTCAAGGGATTGCATTACCTGGCATACGAGTACAGATTGCGATCACTGGGACTATATTCTGCTCAGTACCGCCAAACTCGAGGAGACCTGATTTTGACGTATCAAACACAGCATAACCCAAACCATCCGTGTCGATTGCTGCTCATGTTATCGAACAATGGAGATCTAAGGGGGCATCGTTTCAAGCTACTGATTCCAAAGTATTGGAATGCCGGCATCAGTCTTTTGCAGTCACAGTATGCAGTTCTTGGAAAGCCCTTTCATCTCATGTCGCTTGTGCACCCATTATTGAATCTTTCAAGTAGAGACTCGATGAAACCCTGGCACACTTCACATTAGTACACCACTAAAAGCAAACGCAAACTCACTGTAGCCTACATTTTCTATTATCTCTTACCCGGAACTCTAGGTGGCTCCTTTTTTCGGTGTGAAACGATTCATCTGTTTAAATATCCCATGGGGACAAGAGAAGCACGAGCTTATAAGTTATGCCCATAATGCAACTTTGACTCTGACTAAGAATATCCGAAAACAATAGTTATCTCACCGACTTGTCTTCTGAATATGTGTATATATTATAACATAATGTATAAAATATATAAAATTGGATGGAAAGAAGATGATGCAATAGTATTTG